TAGCAGTTCAATGCTGAGCCAAAAAAGCCCAGAGAGCATCCAAACCTATCCTTAGAAAGAAGTCTTTTAAACCTCTTTTGGTCCTTTTCATTTTTGATCATCCCTGGTTCTCTCCTATGCACAAGCATTTTGGCAGGAGAGGAAGAATGGAGTAGTATAAACAGACATGACAATGTAACAGGTACAGCACTGCCAGCTCCACAAAAGTACAAATAAACTATTCCTAGACCTTACTGCAAGAATTCCAGCTAGGTCACACCACGTGGTCTCGTTAAAGTTATTACCACTCAGAGAAAACCTGTCCCACCCAGATTTGATCAAATTACAAGTAGTTTTCCAACTGCAAAGCAGTCAGATGGCTGTGGAAAGCACCTACTTCCAAGTCTCAATACCTCCTACTCAGTTTTGGGTCCAAATGGAGCTGAAGGACAGATCAGATCCCTAAGATTAGGGCTGAGAAAGATTAGTAAACTAAAATTTACTGTCAATAATAAAGGCCAGCTGCTCCCATCTTCTGCTGAGCTTGCTTATATATCCCTTTTTGGGTTTATCAAATATGTGTCTCCTGCTATTTGCAGATTATATACTGATTGCAAACAAGTGATGCTGATATCTCATGGTGAAGCTTCTAACCCTGCCTTGTGTTTCAGTTCCAAGACACTTTGTCAGGTCCAGTTCCAACACCTGTTAAGTCTGTGCCCTCAACTTTCATGACTTGTATTCTCTGCTTGCTATTCCAGTGGCTAGTCTCTTTCCAGACCTTGCAACCTTCTTCTGGAGTTCCTGAGGAAGAGAGGAGAGAAAAAGCCCAAAAGCTACCATTGCTTTTTTTTTTTTTTTTTTTTTTTTTTTGCAGGTTCTGAATTGCAGAGCTTTCTCCACCTCCACCTCTCTTACAGGAGCTGGTGGTACATGCTGTGACACTGAGGAGCACTGCACTAAGTCCCTCTTTGTACCTGTCACTGGCTGTTTCCTTCTCAGGGGGAGAGGAAATGTGACAGCACCCAACCAGCAGCATAGGACACAACATGAAGCTGTCTTATATCATTGCCAAGCTATTTTTGACCCAAAGAGCAAATGTGAAATACAGTTCAAGAGATAAGCCACCCAAATGTGCTAAATTGCAGCTCTTCTAAGTACCAGCAGAGAAGGCTAGCAAAGATACCTAAGCAAATGGGTTAATATCACTCAATATGATGGAGCCCCTGAAGTTCTAACTAATGAGTACTTAACTCATAATTATAATATTCAAAGCAGTTAATGAAAACATATAATTAAGACACACCACACAGGAAGGTCAGAACTCTTTTGTACTTGTGAAAACCAGAGAAATTAAATAACTTGAAGAGAGCCACACAAGTGATTTGATGGCAGGCAGAGAAGTAGACCCCAGGCTTTCTGTCAAGGGCATGCTCTCGTGGATTGTACTGCACCTCAGCAAATATTAGCAAAGAATATGTTTTATATTTTTATGCATCTCCTTCTGTCATCAGATATATCAATGTACACCCAAAAAAGTCTGTGTTGAATTGTATCCCTGTGGTGGAATTTCATTACATATCTCTCTCACTCATCCTAAGGAAGCCAGGACTCTGATCAGTCTCTTTAGAGACTAAAGATTTGCCATGTCTAAAATTATGTTTTCATTCAGATTTTATAGGACAATTGAATTATGTCACTCACATTATCGTGTCTATTTTCTAGAGGTTTGGGATCACTTTTAAAATATGAATTGCTCAATAATGAACAAAGAATAGCAATTTATGTCAGCTGACTTTGTGGACTAAGGGCTATACTATATCACTGGTTTTGCAGTGTGTAGTATTCAGCAAAACTGGACTGATCCATGGTATACATATCCAGTGGTATACATATCCAGTAAAGAAACACCGTGTATTTTGATTATAAATAGCAGGAACAAGCAGCAGTTATATATACCAAGGATTTGTTGCCAATAACCTTTATAATTAGAGGAAATCCCAGATTCAGTTTAGTGTTTCCTTCTTCATCCATAGACTTTGGAAACATTACTGCATTAAATGGCAGACAATACAAATAATATTTCATAGTGTTCTGGGGAGTGTTTTTTAAATGTAGTGCTCTTGATCTTTACCAGCTGTTGAATCAAATTTGGCATAAGCCTATTTCTTTGTGTACAGCCTGCAAACAATGTGGATTGTAAAACGAGTAGGCAGGGATTGCAGGCTGGGATTCCCCTATGCTTTTACAGGGAAACTTGGTTGATAACTGTGTTTCCTATTGGGTGGGACATGGAGACCATGCCCATAGCACTTAGTCTTCGAATACTAGAATATCACATGAGCTCTAAAGCCAAGCTATTAAAATAAAGAAGAAGAAATAAATCATAACATGTAATAAAAGCTTACTTGTTCATTTGCCATTATTCAACCCACAGCTGTATATTTTTCATGCAATTTAAAATTTCATGTAATACCGGCATGAACATCCAATGTTTAATTAATGGTAAATAAATAATTAAACAATAAATAATTCATAAAGTTGTGATAACAGTTCAATGCAGACGTTTTGCAAGTCATATGCCTCAAAATAGTTATGTCACTATTTGCCCTAGGTACAACCAGTGCTTTACTCTGATGAGGAGTACCCATGGAGGTCGAAACCACTCACAAACGCCTAGTGGACACAGCCACACTAAAATCTAGTCTACTGCTCAAACTCAACAGTTTCAGTTGTTAAACCTGCTAAAAAACTTCTGACAATACCCATAGTTTGAAAAACACAGAAAAATGCAAATTATTGCTTTTCATATCCCTTGCCTTATGAAGAACCACACAGCTTCAAGTTTGAATGAAAAATAGAAATTTACTGTACAAACTTCTGGGGGGGGAAACTTCATAAGACAAAAGAAAATCTGTAATACTCACTTGTAACAACAGCAGCTGCAGAAATCTCTGATAGTTTTAAAATGACAATATCTCATTATCACATTAAGAAAATTGCTAGGAATAAGTCATTGATTCTCTACTTTTTGATCTGATGTGCTATAGCAGAATATTTCACACAGACAAAGGCAAACTGTAACCCCTGACTAGTGCCCCTATGAAGAACACTGAGTAACACATCATGGGGAAGATTGACTGCTCCCTTTTAGAATAACTCACGAGCTGGATTGAGCCCACAAATCATGGTCAGTTATGCAGAGAAACTGAAGTTAATTTCAAAGGAAAAGGAGGAAGAAGTTTCGTCTAATAAGCTAGTCATGAGATTCTAAAGTTCATGTAGTTAAAGTGCTTTGCACTAGATTGAAAATGCTATGCTGGCAGTAATTTATCCTGTTGAGATCATTATTGTTCCCCTTAGGAAACATTTTTGTCTTAAAAAGTCATTAATGCATTCAAGATTCTACTGAATACAACTAGCAGAAACATCACATACAGAACATGAACTGAATGCTGTCCCTAATATCACAAATTATTGATTGATTGATTGATTGATTGGTTCCGATATACTGGAAACAATGTATTTCCCTTGTAAATAAGAAAAATAAAACACACCTTTCTCAGTTAATCAATCTTCAGTATTGGAAAAGTGTAAGACACACTCTTGAAGGTAGAGAAAGGTATCCAGGTTGCCAAACCTTAGGGTTGTGTCTATAGGCAATCAGTGATCAGTCTTCATAACATACATCCCTAAGGTTTGACAAAGAGAGATACCCTTTAGGGTCCCCAGAGGTAAATCCTATCCCCTAGACTAAAACCCATCAAAAAAGGTTGATATTGAATTTTACGTGCTGATAGTCCTACACTCTTTGGAGGGATAAATTAGAATGACAAATCATTTATATTTTAAACTCCCATTGCAGCAGACCAAGGAGCATAAATTATTTAAAATACATGTGTATTTGCATTCATGAATATGAGTACATAACAATTCTTGAAAAGCATTTGGGTAAATCTAGAGATTAATCTCTTATGGCTATATTTTATTATTCTAAAAATATCTAAGTAGATAGAGACTACAGAACTTGAATACAGGAACATTAACTATAGTACATGAATATTTAAATATAGAGAGAGCTTTTTTTGCTTAATCTAGTATTTTATAAGCATCTTTATTCCTACTGTTTTTCTAGGATACATATATTAAATGTAAAATAAATTACTTTAACGTGAACTAACTTAATATCTGGGTAGTACCACCACATTTAAGTAATCTTTAGAATGTCTCACTGGTTGTCCTAAATACTGACATCTTCAAGCAGAAGTTTATACAGACAGCCAAATTCTTTCATAAAATCAATTTCACTTCTCTGTAGGCAGTACACAGTTATAATCGTCCACTAAGACTGAAAGTCAGATTGCCTATTATTTAATCCCTTTTTTTTTTTAATTTATCTTTCAGTGTACTCTATGTTTACAATTTCAGAATGCCAGGAAGAGCAGAACATCTCCACACTGCCCCTTGGCGGGGATATTTGGAATGGTACAAAGCCAAAGCTATTAAAGAGACGGTATGGTTCACACTCCTTTCATGCGCATACAGAAGTCATTAAATTTAATACTGGTTACATTCAAACCACAAAATGAAAAACATGTTTTACTCTTTCTCATGCTTAATTCATTTATTCACAGCAAATTCAGTGTCTCATATGTTCCTAACATAATTAGCAATTTCTGAAACCTCTCATACCTCTTTGGCACCCCTGCTGTTGTAAAAACTGACTCTGGAAAAGCAATGAATATTAACAAAATAATTTTTTTCAAATACAAAAGACAGATTTTAACTAACAGCAGCAGTTGCAAACTGTGTAAAGATGCATTTAAAGATGCATTTTACTACCCTCTTTCAGAGTAATTCTTGCCACTTTGGATACTTAATTCAGAATGACAGGAATATAAAGTGAATGTTCAGGACAGCTGAAATATTTTTTCCCTTTTTGCCTTCTTTCTTTTCCTACAATTACTTTGGTAGCATATAACTACTATATTAATAGACAGCAAATTGGAACAAGAGATTACCTGAGAACATGAAAGTCCACATTCTTCAATCCTGGGAATAATCTGACAATCAGTATTCCAAAATAGAATTATTAGAAGAATCTGAACATAAGTATTTATCATCCTAAATTGAAAAAAAAAATAAATACAAAAAGCAAAAGCTCAGAAGAAACCTTCTACTCTGACAATTCTCCCTCTCATGCCAAAACTTTAATATGAATTTTAGTCCCTCCCACAGCACCTCTGAGCTCCTCCCTCTAAAACTTTCCAGAGACAAAAAATTGCTAGTTCTGGGAAATATAAAGCATGCTCAACTCATTTCATCTGTTCCAAACTGAAAAATAGGAAACAGTGATTTCTGACAATCACAGTAAAAGCCTCTTCCTTCTGGATTTCATCACATCAGCATTAGATCAGTTTCAACAGATTTCTTTTATGTAAATTCCATATATAAATGGGAATTTTGCTTCTAGAGTGATGTACCAGACAAGTTCATGGGTATTCAAATGCAGTCTTATTTTCCTGGTTTTCTAGTGCTTTCAATGAGAAGAAAACCAGCTTTGCCAAGGTGGGTGGTCTTGGAAGACTAGTTTTTTCTTTTTAATCAGCAGGAATACCAGATTATTCCACTCTAGAAATCTGAGCCTTGATATTTTTTCCACTATTCTCTAATTGTATCAATAGGAGAATCTTGTTCTAAAGCCTATCTCCAACTCTGGAAATATGCATGTTTTTTCGAAGTTCAACACCAGCAACTCTAAAATCATGATAGGAGTGAGTCACAATCCCTCAATACCTGTTAGCATAACAGAAAGCCCAGGAATGCCTCTCTGGGTGCTATATTTCACACAGTCCCACTATCCTTTGTAAGGAACAAGTATTTCAAAAACACTCTCTGGTCGGTATGGAGAGTACATGTGACATGCCTTAGGGAGTTTTCCTCCACAGAGAGGGCTTGCTCACCACAGAGATATCTTTCAGTAGGACAGTGCCAGGACCTAGGTACTCTGTGCTCTTACAAAACCCTTTACATCACTTACAGTGATACATAATATACAACTAACAGCATCTGCTAGGATCTGGCTTTACACATAAAATACAATGTCTTCTCTGTCAATGTATCTACTGTACTTGTATTTTAGATACTTCATGTGAGTCCAGTTTGCCAATTTTCCAAGAAGACTTTATTTTTTAGATAAGCAGCATCAATCACCATACTGAACAAAATGTAATTTAAATGTTTTGGTTAAAAAACCACAATTAAGTTTTGTCATCTTATAGAAGTTTGGACATTAAGGAGTTAATGTGTTGCTATGTCTCAAACACTGACGGCCACTCTAGCAGGCAAGTTAGAACAGGTGGTGGCTGGAAAGGGGGGCCCTGTGGATGTCGGGAAGAACCTTCCTCGGGCCCACTTCCCTGTTCTGGTCCATGCTGACCACATAAAGCAGAGAAGTGATGACAAGGAGTCAGGAGTTATTGAGAAAGGGTCAATCCAGAAGAGGCGGATTTAGACCACCAAAATACCCTCAAAACCCCCTGGCCCATTACCAAATAGGTCCAGAAAAACTTTGACCATGAATCCTGAGTATTCACAGGAGTGGGATGTGACACACCTATGCACAAAAATACTCGAGATCGAAAATCTGCCCAGTCCACTCTCCTGTGCCTAAAAGGATCATAGGATGCTTAGGAAAAATAAGAAAGTTAAATATCCTACTTCCATGGATTATTTTAACATGTAAGCAGACAAGTTCCAATGATCTGGATCTTACAGATTTACTGAACCAAAAGCCACGTGCACATCACTGATATTAATAGCTGCTTCAGGAACTTTCTTAAATGTATTTGTAAAACAACTCTTTGCATCTATTTATCCTTTCGGTTTTCAAATCTTCCTGGAGCCATGAGTTGTACAATTAACCTATGTTTATTTTCTTTGTTTGGATTCCAAAACTGCTTCCAAGTAGTTCCATTCAGTTCCTCCTTGTTGCTTTAAAAAATACAGAATATCCATTTTCATCTCACCTTTGCATAATAGTCACAGCTGCATTGCTCTCCAGCATACCTCCCCTATATTTTCTGTGGTATGGAATATATCTCTTCATTTTTACTACACCTTTTTGTAAGATGAGGGTCGTGCAGACAATATTCAGGAGAGAGCAGTTCAAGGATGTTTTACGCTCTAGAAAATGCCATTTTGACTCTCCTTAGTGTATAATTTACCTCCAGTTTCCACAGAAATTAACAGTGTGATTCACCTAAAGAAATTTTATTCTCTTACTGTTTCTGGTATTTCTTCGCACATTTCTTCTCTGTGACATTGTGGATAAAGCTGATCATAGCACAGATCCAACAATGTACTCTTTCTATGCAGGAACTGCATTTCAGTCAAGACAGTTTCTGTGTGGACTGAAGCTGTTATTAAGTTCAACAGGCAACAACTTTATTGTTATTTGCTTCATTTTAACCTTTTTTTTTTTATATCATGTCTAAACTAGCTACTTTACTGTTCCTGCATAATTTCTATCCTGGAATTACTGTGTTCATCCACTGTTCATATTACATGAGGTTTTGGAACCCCCATTAAGATTCTCACTAAAAGCTGGGCAGTATAATTGACCCACGCCACGTTTTTTGAGAACTATCAGTTATGTAGAAGCATTGATGCATTTGAAATTTACAGGGGCAATATCTCTTGGGCTCTCCGCTCAAATAGGACTCTAAATCTTGATCATAATTTTGAAAATAATTTCTTTCTAACAGATGTCTTTTAGTCCTTGTCACTTACTATACCTTACCTATAGTTTAATCCACATTTGTCTTCAGTTTGATGCTTTCATTACTTTATCCCTGAAGAACGGATGATAGCAAAAGATTGTTTCTACCAATGTTTCCTCTGTCTTCAGAAAAAAAGACTCGAAAAACCATTGATAAGAAGGGGTTTTTTTGCACTTGGTAATAGATATTTTGCACTCAAAATCTTTATTAGAGCACTTTTTCTTAATTAGTCTCTGTCTCCACAAATTTTGCATGCTTGGATACATACCTGGCCCCCTTCAAAAGAGAAATATCATTCCACCACTGGTCAAGTGTGTACGGGAAACATTTGAAAATGAAAGTTAGGACAGATTTATCACCAGACATACCTAAGGAGCCAGAAATGGATTTTGTGACCTGATGTGTTGGAGTTTAAGCACAGAATTCCAAAGAGATTTCTGCTTTGGCTACATTATTCTTTGACTTTGTTAAATTAACATCAATGTCTACGCTAGAAGGCATGTCCCTGTCACATCCATGTTGGAGAATGCCCAGCCTTCTTTGCAGCACAATAGCCACATTCACACTACATTTTGCAAGAGGACCCTGTGACATATCACTACATTCTTCCCAGTTTCACCAACACAGGCACACATACTATATTATAACAGTCCCCTGGCTATTATTTTAACCCTGTGTGCAGTTGTATTGCCTGCTCCAAGCAACGGACATCTTGTCCCAGAACCACTTACATCAACCACAGTACAGCTGTTTATAACTTAACAGCTTCTTGAAATGTTGGGCATGTTCTGGAGTGGAGCAGTGTGAAGTGTCACCACAACAAAATTCTCACAAGGGATCCAGAGCTGCTTAGGAACTGCATTTTTCTGGGACTGTGCCTGTACCTCCTGTCCAGAGTGAGCCTGTGCAGCCGGGGCAGGTGCGCAGCAGAGGTACCAGCAGGGCACCTACACCCCAGAGAGACACAAGACAGGCTGGTGAAACACAAGCTGCCCGGTGCTTCTGTACTCAACAAGTTACTGATCCACAGTCCGAAGACAATCACTACTCATTTCATCTGTGTGATTCAAGGAGACCCTCACTGTCCTCACCCACCCCATCCCTTTCCTTCAAGAGCCACGAGCATTCAGCAATGGCAGCAAATATCACAGCAGGCAGCACCGTAGGTGCACTGCTTACAACCCAGGCACAACCCACAGATGCTGAAGACTTTCTTTTCCTAAGATTAGAATCATACAATTATAAAGTGGTTTGGGCTAGAAGGGAATTTTAATGATGATCTAGTTCCAAATTAGGTTGCTGAAAGACCTGTGTATTGTTAAAGAAATAAAAGAAAGAAAATGTATTTTTAAGTTATTAAAGAAAATCATTTTAGACCCCTCTGAAATTGTTAATAAAATTATTAAAGAATAAAACTAAAAACTTGAGTGTTCAAAAATATATACTTAGAAAAAAGTAAAATAATAATAAAAAATAAAGCATATTCACAATTCTCCAAAATTTTTGTAGACAATCTATACTTTTATGAACTTAAAGCTCAGAGAAACTGGAATTATTAGCACATGTGGAGGGGTTGCAACTAAAAGTAAATCATTCATGCACCACGTGCACACAATTTATTTTTTTCAGGAGATGCTTCCAATCTGTTTTTTTTTCATTTTACCCAGCTAGATTTTTTTCTCAATTTTACCTATCTATTTTCTTTAAGCTAGGAACTAAACTCCTGATACAAGCTAAGCAGTCAGCCATGGCATTAATTCTAGTGACACCTAGCAAGGCAGGAAATGGCACATTTCCAAGCAGAAACCCTTCTAACATGGCACATACACATTTACCTCATCAGGCTGACCTCAGAGAGGGGTATGATTTTTGTCCTTTCAACAGGCTTTCTAGCTGTGCTATGGAAACAGATCATCTACCAGCAGACCCTAATTAAATCTTCAAGCTATCAAGATTTGCTCTGTGTCAAACATCAGTACAAAAAGTCCTTCACTAAAGAAGGGCATATGGGTGGGGGTGTTGTTTTGAGTTACAAAAACATGGACACACAGTGACATTTACAGTGAAACTTTCTCTGCTGAGAAGTGCTTTTCATGTCAGCAGGCAGCCCTACATTAATTATGATTTTAAAAGCCTTCCTCTTACCTCCATGATTTTTTTCCTTGCAGGGCATGAGAAAATTCAGCCTCCAGAGAGGTATCCATGGTGGGGCTCCTAGTTTACCAGGCATGCAGGGAGAAGTCTCTGCTGTGCTCAACAGAAGAAGTCTCTGTCCCGTCTCTGCTGTGCTCAACAGAGCAGGAAGGGAGCCATGGCCAGGCAGGGAGCCCTGGGATGTTCAT